ATTAAGTGTCCAGTTTAAGGGTATTACACAGAAACATACCAAGGGAACATGAATCAAATATGTATCTTTATTCATTTACAATAAACTCATAAAATACATCATTTTGATTGAAGCTAAGGGCATACAAAACTGTCTAACAACCAAAATGTGCCCCGACACCAATTATGATATTAATCCTTTGATATTCATTTACTTCCATGCATGGTGTATGATTGCCATTTTGGGGGGGGGGGGGTATATAGTCAAAACTCAAGTGGTTGAGAAAAACTCTGTTTTTTGGTAAATGGTTGAGAAAAAATGACTTTGACTCATTTTAAGCAGTAGATCCAAGAGGTCTACTGTATGATCATCAGCTCTTTTTAAGCAGTAAAAGCCTACAGACTTATTTACATTCAGAAAATTAGTGGCAGAATAAAATCATAAAACTGTTGAGTTGTGATTTTGTATGTATGGGTGTGTTTTCCATTGGATCAGAAGTGGGGCATTATTCCACAAGTCGAATTGGTTTGTCAAGTTCAAATGCTTACCTTGGAGGAGGTTGTTTGAGTTTTAATTCATGAGAAGCTAATATAACTAACCTGTTACTAATTTATCACGAATTAATTGCTTAATTGTGTAGATAAAATACCATATAATATACTACCTATTCTTCCTATGTTTGGTTCATTGGTTGATATTTTTTGATGTGTTTGACAGCTCTTATGCCTTGGAGTGAACCTAAAGAATTTTCCTAGCACAGCAAGGCACAGAAAGTGCACTAGAGGGAGGCAAGTGCTTTTTAGGAGCATCACTTTCTTATACTCATGCACCTTGTGAGATTTGGTATCTTTATTTGAATATGATTACTGTAGCATAGGATGGAATACTTGCATTTTTTGCTTTGAAGCTTGATGGCAATGGATCCAATTCTTCTTTTAAAAATACGAAAATTTGGTGTAACCCCAGGAAAGTCATGAGGTTAGCTATAAAATTAGGATTTGTAAAAAGCTTTTTGCTTAATCTATTTTCTGTACTTGTTTTTAACTTGACTTGTTTCTTTAGGGGTCTCACGCAGATAATGCATTAACTGGACAATCCTACTTCTCTTAGATGGGAGGAATTTCATGTTAGGTTGAGATGATTACTGTGAATTATGCCTTTCTTGTGGTGTCAGGAAAGATACTATGACTGTTTTCGACTGCCAGACCTTTCCTTAAATCATTATCAGGAAAACTGTTTTGTGGGATGTTTCATTGCCAGGAAAACGGTTGTAAACACACTGGATACTTGAATCCAGTGTGTTTTGATACATGGTCAGATCCTTAAATCATCATGCCATGTTATACTGTCTTCCCCAACTCCCAGAATTTTCCCTTTGAAACCCTTCTCCACATATGCTCTCCCTATCAAATCCAGGCAGCCCCACCCCTTCCTCCCTTCATCCCAAACCACAACCATGTTAGACCCCATCTTCAGCCCAAACATCCTTCCCTTGAAACAAACCACACAAGGTACCTTCTCCTCCAGTGATTGCAGGTGCTTTGACCATATCTCCAGTATCCAGACTTCACCCTTAAAGACAAACCCATCAGCCATGAACCTTGGCTCATCCAATTGAGCAAGCTTGTTCCACTGGCACCCATCAAAGGTCATAGTCATGGATGTTGCTTGGTTCCCAATGGTCCCACCAGAAACACCTCAACTAGTCCTGCATACCTATTTAAATCAATTGCAATATAACTTAAAGCAGAAAATTCTAATTGAAATACTCAATGGTTGATCACCCCTATACAAAGGAACACATATAACTTACAAAAAGAAAAAAAAAATTCCTGCCCAATTAATTATCTAGTCATGAATACTTTGTAAAGTATTGTAAGCTGTAATTAAGATAATCAGAATCTTCAAACAAGCCATGTACAGATAAATCATCATCATCTAAGCCTTGTTCCAGCCCCAACTATATGGAGTTGGTTGCATGAATCTTGTTTTTACCTATTTTACTTATTTATTTATGGGCATGTGTCAGTATTTATAGAAGCTAAGAGAGATGCCATGTTGCCAAGTTCAGCTTCAGAACTTGCTTCACAACAACCTGAAAATGATTGACAGATTAGATGGTTCATGTTTAGTGATAATGTTGGTTGTGGTGTTGGCAACTTTTAGTTGGACCCTATTTATTAATTAATGGGTCTTTGAATTGATTCTCTCAACTGGTAGAGCCATGAATTGATGCTTGAATTCTAACATAAATTTTATGGAGATTGATATCCATGAAGCATCTTGGCACAAAATAAATTCAGAGAGAGAGAAGCCTGAATACATATTGATATATTATGGAATAGTTTCTCTAATTGCATCTAATCCTAGTTATCAAAAGAGATGAAAACAAGTAAAGGTGTTTTGGACCTTAATGGGTAATGTGATGGTGATAATACTACCATTTGACTATTTTTAATCCCTGAGTGCCATGAATATAGTGCTCAGCTAATCCTATCTCTCCAGTTTGGACAAAACAATAGGTATTCAGTTTATGAATTCCTCATATGGCTACTTTATTGGCTTGATTCAGAGCAGTCCTATGAACTCAAGAAATATCACATTTAATCTTGTTTTCATAGTTATAAAGGGTAGAATCAGGTTTCAATAGAAAAAAAAATAATTAGAATTATGAGATTTTTGTCCATATGAGTGGGTTTATTGGTGGAAATCAGAGTTATGAGGGTGCTTTAGCTATGGCAAGAGTTGCTTTGAAGTTTTAGTCAATGAAGAGAGTTGTCTCCATCAGCTAATTTATCAATGCATGGTTTTCTTCCGATGGCATCTGAACTAGTTTTCTGGACCAGCTTCATTCCTATTTTGCATAAGTTTCTTCTACATATCTCAGGTATTGGTTGTTGGGTCGAAATAGGTCTTGCCACTGGGTTTTGGTTTTTAGTTTTAACTGCTAGCAGTGCCTTTACATCTTGGTTTTCAATCAAGGGATCTAATGTTTCAAAAAATAATTTTGGTGTTTGTATTATGGCTGGCATTGCCTTTACATCTTGTACCAATGCTTGTTTTCTATATTAAGTATTTTACCTGTTGACTGGATGCTACTTTGCTTTGTCTTTGTTACTAATTTCAGATCTATATAAATCATTGAGTTTCTTCTTTCTACCAGTTGTTGTTGATTGTACCAATGTTAAACCAACCAGAAATTTCATCTTTTTCATCCATTTCTTCAAATGCTCCACTGCTGATTCAGCGGATATAATTGATACAAGAACTCCTTTTCTTCTTTAATTCTTCTCTAAGTTATCTAGTTTTCCTTCTTAAATTTCTGGTTGCTTTCTGTTTATACTCCATCGTTTGAACCATTGTTGGTAAACCTGTTTGTACTTTTCAGCCTGTTAGAAATCTGTCTATAGAACACATAAACTGGATCCCAACTGTAAGATTGATTCCTCACCTCTATTTCCATTTCTTTTTATCTGTGAAAGACAAGCTATCTAGCTAATGTTTTTTTTTTTTTTAACTCTGAGCTGAGCTTATGTATATCTTCATACTCTGAGGCCCTCTTTTCTATTATCCAATCTGTATGTGGGATTTTGCAGCTTGGTTGCATGACAGTTCTGATTAGAAGGTTCTGTATGCGTGGATCTTGTTTTTTGTTGAATATATTGCTTAGATTAATTTCTAGGTGTCCTGATCGTCTATCTTCATGTTACTAAATAATCTTTGAGATGTATTGACAAATTTCTGCCAACCAATATAGACTTTGGTTAGATGGTCTCATTTCAAACCTGAATTCTTAGTGAGATTTTTATTTGTTTACAAGATTGTGAACTAATTGTGAAAGTTTCAAAGGTGCTTAATTCAAGGGAAAAGACCTTGTTCTCATTATTGTTCCATTTGAACCGTTACTGCATCTAGACTATTGGGATAGAGAGAAAGATTGGGAGAGGAGAGGAGACCTGATCGCCTAAATGCAAAGCCACTTCTAGTGTGAAGAATTTAACATTAATCATCTCCATAGGCTCAGTTTGAATACAGAAATATATATATAGAGAGAGAGAGAGAAATGACTAAGATAGAGAGAAAGAGATGACTGAGAGAGAGAGATGGAGAGGTCGGGAAGAGCAAACAGGAAGAGGAAGAGGCGTGGAGGAAAAGTGGAAAACCTCCCTAGCACGCATCACTTATGTAGCAGCAATTGATTGGTCTTTAGCAGCAGTTTTAATTGACTGCCACTAAAGATCAATACTTCTAGCGGTGGTCACCAATTAGCCAGTTCAAAAACTACCACTAGATTTCTTTTGTAGTGTATTCTTAGTATGATATAATAAATATTTCTTTTAAAAATATGGTTATAATCCTAAAATGATTTAATGTGTAGGCATTCTTAGGATATGATAAGAAAGAGGTGGCTAAGGTATACTTGTTATTGTTAGTGAAGATCCTAAAAAGGTGGTGGGTGATGAAGCATTTGGTCATGGATGGTGTGAGATATCCTTAAAATCAGTAATGAATAATGACTTCGTTTTGTTAAGAAAATGTAGTAATATGGTAACTCTTGGAGATGCACTTGGATCTCACATCATGGGTTAAATCAATGGTAAGTGTATAATGCATATAAAACTCTTACATTATTTAATTTACATAGTTAATTATTGACATCAATCCTTATGTATTCATTTTTGTTGAACTTGACAGACCGAAGTTTATGATACAAAGCGAAGGTCTTGAGTATGATGCACGTACATATAAGCAAACTATTAAGATGCGATGAGGATAATTTTGTTAATTTTTTTTTTCTGTTTTTGGTGATGAAAAATTTTATTAAATGTGTATATTGAACAAAGATTACTATGGATATTTTGTGTAAATTTGTACAGGTTTTATTTGTAAAAACCTCTTTTATCATACGGAAATAGGTGAAATTATTTTTTTAATGGCATTCATTCAAAATTTAAATGAGAAATAAACATTTAGCAACGGCTTGCTACGACATCGGTTTTTGACACTAACCGTTGCTATAAGAATTTTATAGCAACCGTTACCATAATACAAATGAATTGTTAATACTTTAAGCGATGATTTTATCTAAAACCATTGCTATTTCTACTTATTCATCAATAGCCCATATTCTATAGCCACGGCTAAAACCGTTACTATAGCAATTTTTAGCAACGGTACAAAATGAATCCGTTGCAATAAATTTTTTCATTAGCAATGGTTAAAACCGTGGCTATATGTATATTTGTAGCCACGGTGTACAATATCCGTGGCTATAGGTTTTAGCCACGCCAATATCTGCCATCGACAAAAAATAGTGGTTAAATCGTTGCTATAGCCTTTAGCAACGGTTTTTGGTATCTTTTTGCAACGATTTTGTCCATTGTTAAAGCTGATTTTTCCCGTAGTGGGTGCAATTTGGGTGGGCCCAACTTAAACATAGATCAATCCAGGCTACAATTTTATATGGGCTAGGCTTGGATTTTTGGTCTTCAAGCTAAGTCTTTTGGGCTCTTTAATTTTTTTAGCTGGGACTAGCCCTAGCCTTTAAGTAGCTCAAGCCTGGCCTGACCTTATCTCAACTCGAGCCCCGTCCAATTATATCTATCTATCTATGTATCTATCTATACTATCTATAAAATTACAAATAGATGTAGTTGGCTTTCACTAGACTTAAATGCCCCATCTCTAAAGTTTGAATTGAAGAAGGAGCAATGGTGAAAATGTAATTTTTCTTTCTCATTTAATGCTTATTAGGAATGACTTCTTTTTCATTTAATGCTTATTAGGA